AAAAAAAAAAAAATATATATATACCAACTAGCCAGTTAATTCAACTATCAGTCTTCCCGGATATTACTGTTTGTCGTTTGATGTACACTCTAGTCTTAGCTTTAAAAAATATAACGCCCGAACGTACGTATATGTTTCTTGGTGAATCGCGTCGTGAGTAAAATTGTTATATTTTACGATTCTAGAAAATTGTACGATCGCAATTTCCGTAGCTACAAAATCACCGCTACCTTCTAAATTCGATTCTCTTTTTTTCCCCCTTTCTTCTCGTCGATCGACGATTTACAATCGTCGTTCCCCAGCTTTTACATCTATCTTGGTATAAACATCGAGTTTGTATAATACGTATTTAACAATCACGCTAACGAGGCCTGGGTATTGTTCTGTTTATACTTTATATATTCGGTATGCATATATAAATAACTGAGATCGATATCTCTGCTTGATCGACTTTCATCAAAACGAGATTATCTTCTCTTTCGCGAGGATTGCTTTGTCCTTGGTGTATTTTCAAATATTGAAATTTATAAACATAGTCCTCTCGATCGACTCGAACCGTTCAACAAAGTCTGATACACAGAAGAGAGATGAAATGAAAATTTCAATAATCTTCTCGCGCAACTTAATGGACATTCGTCCGACGTAACGAATAATGAATAAACAAGATTTTATATACTTTTATACAAAAATTGAATAAATTAAGCAATTACATCGTTTTTCTATAATTTATATTATTTTCTATACATAGAAAAAATTCCATTAACGTATAACATAAGCGGTGAAAATCAAAAGAACTTCGTTCAAAGAACGAAGCAACCCTCTTCAATTTCAGCTCGTAATACCGATACAAATTGTCACGACTACTCTACGATTCTCAATATTTCCAATATAATAATCGTCCAATGAACGTAACACGGCCGCGCTACGAATTTCAATTGCGCTGAAAATTCACCGTGTTTTTTTTGGGGGGAAATGGTCCGTGGAACGACATATGAAAACGTACGAAATCGTTAGAAAATCGTCTACAAACGATCAAACATCATCCTCGCGACTTTATCCTGCCTACGGCTACGGCGTAATTATTCAACTTTGAAATCACCAGCCCATGGTGATTTCGAACGTCACTGGCTCCCATCAAAATACGTCTTCAAAAATCGACGATGAACGTCCTCGAACGGGTTAAGGTAGATCTTGTAAGAACACAGGTTTCGAACTCAGTTCGTCCAATCTGAGTCGCCTCGAACAATTCCATCGGGCTGTCGATGAAATTATCTTCAATGTCGCTTCTCTCCCATCGACACGCGGAAATCTTTCCCGATTATATCCTTTGTCGTTCAATCTTTTCTACTGGTTTCTACTGGTTTGTCTCGGGGGCAGGTCGGTTCTCTTACACGTCGATGCCAAGTAGCTCTCTGCTGTCGGCTCTCGATAATCGACGGCGTAAACTGCGACGACGGAACTCCTTCCATCAGACGGATGCGCGTTTCACGCGAAGGCTCGAGGTCGAAGGTGGCCTGTATCCCTGGTAGCCTTGCTCCAGAAGCTCGGAATTCGGTGGCCCGAGGCACGTGCACGAGCACACGCTCACGCAGTCGTCCGTGTCGTGAACTATCGGGACGTGGCCTGCCAAGAGTTTCCCATTTACGGCGACCACCTCGCCGTCTAATGTTAGAACGTGATGCGAAGCTGGTTGAAGCTCGTTGTCGTCGCGACGAGCGTCACCGGTGTTCCTGTTTGATTTATTTTACGTTTAATTACAGAACCTTTTCTACAGCTTGATATCGTTGAATTATCTTGTCCCGGTACAGACGAAATGGAAATTTTCTCAAAGTTCACGATTCCCTTGAGAATAATCTCCATCAAATTTCGACTCAACTCGAATTGTAAAATAATTCTTGTCTTGTTACAGGCGAAATGGAGTAATTTTTAATAGAAATTTTTTCAATGTTTACAGTTTTCTTGAGAATATCAATGAAGTTTCGACTCAACTCGAAAAATAATTGTACAATAATTTTTATTTTGTTGCAAACAAAGTAGACAAATTTTTTAATGAAACTTTACAATTTTCTTGAGAATAATTTCGACTGAACTCGTTTCGAAAAATAATTGTACAATAATTCTTGTTTTGTTGCAAACGATGTAGACAAATTTTTAATGAAGTTGAAATTGAAAAATAATTGTAAAATAATTCTTGTCTTGTTACAGGCGAAATGGAGTAATTTTTAATAGAAATTTTTTCAATGTTTACAGTTTTCTTGAGAATATCAATGAAGTTTCGACTCAACTCGTTTCGAAAAATAATTGTACAATAATTCTTGTTTTGTTGCAAACGATATAGACAAATGTTTTAACGAAAGTTTACAATTTTCTTGAGAATAATTTCGACTCAACTCGCCTTGAAAAACAATTGTGAAATAATTACAATTGTAACAGTTCAATAAAATGTGAATAAAATGTCTGAAGAGTACGCATCTTCGACGTGACCTACATGTACAGCGCAATCTTTAAAGACAGAGTGACGATAAGTGAAAGAGGACACGTGAGATATATGCGCACGCTTTGAGACGAAGGGACATGTACTCACATGGTCATAAAGCGGAGGACAAGCAAGTTTATGCTGGCAGCGACGACGGCCAGGCCGAATAGTATAAAGACTAAGCTTAAGGCCACGTATCCAGGTTTGTTGGAAAGTGCATGGTCGTTCTGCAATATCATATATTCAGACATTATTATTAATTTCGTGCGGGAATTATCAATTGTGTAGAATTATTGATCACGTGTAGAAATCAGACATTATTAATTTCTCATCGAAGGATTTACAACAGTGAAACAAACAAACTTCTTCCTGATAAGATTTTAGTAAGATTTCAACTCAATGTTGGTGAAGGTTCAACGAGATGGGAAATTTATTAAGGTACGGATTTACCTGCAAGGCGACGTAATCCCCAAAACCGATGGTAGTCAGCGTGACGAAGCAGTAGTAGAAGCTATCAAAGTAACTCCAGCCTTCGTAACGCGAGAACACTGCGGCTCCGGTCGTGATAATTATACTGGAGAGTAAACCAGTCGCGAGCATTAGATTCATCTCGGTTGCTTCTGTCTTCTGACATCTTAAATAGCTTTTCGCCCGCTTGATCACTACGGAGGCGAACTTGTTCAAACGTTCACCGATACTCTGGAACATCACCAAACCCAGAGGGATGCCTACCATGGCGTATGCCATGCAAAACGCTTTACCTCCTATGGTGACTGGCGTCGAGTGTCCGTAGCCTGGCAAGTTTTTTCGAGAAAATCATTTTGACGAAATTGATTGTTTTGAACGGTGCTAAACAACGAGAAACGAGAATTGATTACAAAATTGCTCGAGAATTTGGTACAATGTTAGAATTCTAACCTCCTGAAATAACAAAGACGATATAAACAGATATTCAGTAAGTATTCGTACAATTTAAAATGTTTCAGGAATTTCAACTAGTTCGATATTCTATTGGAAAATTTACGAGTGTTTTTCATTTTTGCAACATGATCGATGTATTTTGCAATATATAGAAATAAATAAGTTTGTAAGAAAAATTGTACTTCCCTTGCAATGCTTGTAATTTCATTTCTCTCTCTCTCTCTCTCTCTCTCTCTCTCTCGAAAAATTAACGTCTCATTTTATAAATACGTGAAGATCGAAGTTTCCAAGGTTCAGTTGGTAATATTACCGACGATATATTTAACTTTTGCTCATCACTCACCTATCATAGCAAGGACAAGGGTGGCGAAATAAAAGGCACCAGCGAATTTCCATTGAGGGCCTGCCTTGTGCGGCTTGTTCTCTATTATAACAATCTCCAGCATTCTGTAATCCTCCTGCGTGATATTGTACTTCTTCATCATGTTCCGACGAACCTCTGAAATCATTATATACACAAATATACATACACACAGCTCAGTACAAAGATCTATTCTTTATTTGCTTTGCAATCTTTTCCTTCCTCCCTAACATTTACTCTGAAATTATTTACAACAATTTTTTGACTCTGTTGACTTTCTACTTAATATACTAAATATTCAGTTTACTTTATTATCTTTACTATCCACGGCTAGACAGATTTTCCTGTTAATTAAGAACAATTATACCTCCACGTTTACGTCGCCCTTAATTCTTAACGTTAATATTTAATCGCACAATTGAATTAAATTAACTATCTTATCATCATACTTGATCACTCGATCACACGGTTAAATTAATCATCTTATAAAAATATTAAATTTAAATATCATAGTCTATATATATATTTATTTTCAACCCTTAACATTATGCGTTAATCCCACGCTTAAACATCGACACATGAAAATATCAAAGTTTGTATCTGATATATGCGTGTGTACGAATGTACTATATGTACTACTCCTCTATGTATTATATTCTCACCTTTATCTCTTATCGTGAACGTTCATTTGTCTATTCATTTCCTAGCAATCGCTCACTCTGATGTGCACACGTGAGAACAATCAATAGAGATTTTCGATCTTCTTCTTTATCTACTTCATCATAGAGATAAGATTAATCTCGTTAATGCGGATTTTTTTTTTGCGTTAACAGGGGAATCTGAAGCTTCCGCTCAATGCGATATTTAAAAATACCACAGCTTTAATGTTCTTAATCACGTTAATGAAAATATGAGTTTGCATGAATATCCGTAGTCCGCACGTTTACACATTCTTTCATTCAAATGCTCACACA